GGAGGACAGGGGGAAGGGGAGGGGAGGGGAGGGGAGAGGAGGAGATCTCATCTCATTCTGTGGCCCAGGACATGCTGAAACTCACTCACTATGAAGTGCAGGCTGTCCTTGAACTCATGGCGATCCTCCTGTCTCAACCTCCCAAGGGCTGGCATTATAGGTATAAATCACCATTACCAACTTTCCTCTCTTCTTAACATTGCATTAGCATAGTATATATTTCTCACAAATAATGAACCACTAGTGATTTATTATTAAGCAGACTCTATACTCCATGCAGACGTCTAAGAGCATCGTAGGACATGGGTGACTTACACACATGCAGGCAAAACACTCATACACATAAGATAAATAATAAATAAATAGAAAACACTGTTTTTATAATGAAAAAAATCATTTAAAACAAACAGTATCACAACAAGGTAAGCAGACATGTATCAAGGGTCCCATAGAATGATGGAATGAGGGAGAGGAGACACATAACAAGGGTTAGGAGCACTCTCCACATGAGAATTTTGATAGGGTGGTAAGGCTACTGAAGAGGGCAGCAAGGGATGTGGACTAGGGCAGCCTCAGGGATGGAAGTTGGAGATCCTGTACTCACAGCAGGCCGAGGTTATTAGGGTTCTCCCTCACTTGGCTCACATTCCCTGGTTCCCCTATCGTCTCCATCTGTATGTGATAGACTGGGGGTGGGGGTACCATGTAACAACACATCAGCACTATGCCAGCCAGAAGCTTCAAGTCTTCAGGCCTCACTTGGGCCACTCCTTTGCCTCCCTCCTGTCTCTGTGTTCGGAGCAGACTGCCTAGTGCTCATTGTAAAGGGGATTTGGGTTCCCACACTTGAGTTTAAAAAACAAAAGCTAATTCCTTCTCACTGCTTTACAAAAGCCAGCTCACCTTTCTCATTAGAAGCTGAATTCAGTTTAAAAGCTGATTGGAGGAACATGAGGAAGTTGAAACCAGCTTGCCCAGTGCTCTGCTCCCTGGGGCATCTTTTTGGAAGTCTCCAAATTGGCTAAGGCACATAGTTTGGCTATGGCTAGTCACCCCTTACTCATACCACCTATCAAAGACAACTGCTGGAAAAATAAGCTTTGTTTCAAATTAATGAATCTCCACTTAAGGAAGATATTTCAGGTACTGGGAAATTAGATAAAAGAGGTGGTCCATGTTAGGAAACCAAATCCTCACAAACCCAAACAGCCAGGTGCCCAATCCCATAGGAATCAGCTGGCCTGATCTTATGACCCCTTTGTCAGGGGGAAGCAGAGACACCGATGAGTGTCCTCGGTGCCAAGAAAGGTACACAGATGGTGGAATCCCCCAGTACGACTCCAGTGTCCCCCGCCAGGGATATTCTATCTTCTGCCCTAGTTTGCCTTCTTATCACACCAGGTCCCAACGCAACATGCACACGCTCTCCCACCTTGGGTAAAAAGCTCCATGAAGTTTTTAAGGCCACAGGGGAGCCCAGGTCCCAGCTCCTCAATTTAAGAGCTAAAGGGTCATAGATCTGGTTCCCCATTTAAGGCTAGTTAGAACAGGATCCTAAGATGCACTGCCTGGTCCTCTTACCTTGGACTGAGTCCTGGATGTCCTCATCTGTGAAGTCTTGGAGAGAAAGCATCTGGGCTGTCAGCAGGTGTTGGATCACCCTGGTCCCCTGCCCCTAGGCCACCTAGACTGTTCCAAAAGGCATACCTCCATCAAACAATCCTGCTTTAGTTGGTTCGTGCAGGGTATTTTCTGTTTTTTTTTTTTTTTTCCAGTGGTTCCTCCTTGTCTCTTCCTCCTCCCTCTCAAAAAAAAAAAAAAAAAAAAAAAAAAAAAAAAAAATCCCTAGAGCTTAGAAGTGCTGAGTAGACACATGAGGCATCAACTCATGGCTTCCTCCTTACAGGATCATAATCCTCTACCAGAGGCCAGAAAAGCCAAGAGTTCAAAAACAAATGCTTAAAGGCAAAGAAGGCACTGTGATGAGGAGAGAGAAGAAAAAATCTTCAGGGATTCTGTATAGAATACAAGTTTGGCGGATGATTCCGCTCAGCTGAGCCAGGCAACGAGCTGGGAAAGAGGGGAGGATGTCCCCGACGCTGTGGCCAGCTGAGGGATTAAGCCACTTTCTCTGGTGCAGACCTTAGGCTAATTAAGGTTTCTGTCCAATTGCCACTTCTAGCTAAGGGTCTGCCCTGAAAGGCCCTTTGTGGTGTGTGAGGGAGCCCAGGATGCCTAGGCAGGAAGGAGCTGCTTCCTGGTTCCACCCACAGGCAAGGATGCACTCTGGGGACCGATTAGCAGAGTGAACATGACCCATCCAAGTGGGAGCACAGCTTCTCATGTCAGGAACTCTGTACCCTCCCCAGAGTCATTGCCACTGGCGAAAGTGGAGGAAGGAGCTTCTGACTTTGAGGGAAGGGTAGGAACCCAGGTCTGGAAGCTAAGACTCTTGGAGTCATTTCCTTAATGCCTGGTGTTAGGGCAGAGGCATCTCCTTATGACTCCATTAATGGAGTTTGGAAACATGACAATGAGAACAGCCTTGGGGACTATGTCAGAGAATGGCCTCGATTCACAGACGGAGAAAGAGAAGCTAAGGCTATCCAAATAGCTCAGCCAAGGTAACCCAACTAACGCGGGCGATCCTGGGTCTGGCAGCTAAGTCCTTGAGTGCCTTGACACCCTGGTATACTGCTGCCCAGCGACCTCTCCTGGCCTCTCTGTAATTTGCTGCAAGACTGAGGGACAAAAGAATATAAAATACTTCCCCTCCAAAGCTCTCAAAAATGAATTCATGCTTTTATTCTATGGAATCTGGATCTAGGTGCAAAAAGCAAGCACTTATTCTATACATTAAACGCTAAACTTCCTATGACAGAGATTTGTATAACATGTAGGAGTTAGAGCAGATGATTTCCAAGACTATGTTCTGTTGATTTGGTTTATGCTGTGATGTTGATTATGTTACTTCTGCCTGAAACACTCTCCCTCCACCTTGCATACAGCCTCCTTGACCTAGTCCAGGAGGTGTTATTCACTTAGAAGAAAATATAAATACTGAGCTCTATTTCTATACACTGTGATGATAAATATGGCTGACTGGCACATCAGTGAAGCATGGCACAATGTTCTGTACAGTAGCCAAAGACTTAAGAAAACTTTCTCTGAGCTCCTAGAGAAACTTGTTTTTACCTCAATGAGAGAGAGAACTCACATAGATCTGCCTGCTTGCCTCTGCCTCCCAAGTGCTGGGATTAAAAGAGTGTGCCACCATGCCCAGCTGTGCATCATTTTTGTATCTCAATACTAAGGACAGTACTTTGGCTGTAAGTTATCACTTGTGGGATCGTGCACTGGATAGCTTTAGTGTCAACTTGATACACCTGGGTTGAGGGAGCCTCAATTGGGGAATTGTCTCTCTATTGGAGTGGCCTGTGGCCATGTCTGAGGGCATCTTCTTGATGATGTGGGAGGGCCCAGCCCACTATGGGTGGTTCCACCCCTGAACAGGTGGGCCTGTGTTGCATAAGAAAGCAGACTGAACAGGGGCCAGGGGAGCAAGCCAGTAAGCAGCATTCCTCCATAGATTGTGCTCCAGCTCCTGCTTCCAGGTTCTTGCCCTGAGTTCCTACCTTGGGCTCCCTGATGACCTGCGACCTGGGAGATGTAAGCTGAATAAACCCTTTCCTCCCCAAGTTGGTATTGGTCAGAGTGTTTTGTCACAGCAGTGGAGAAACAAACTAAGACAGATGGTGTATAAAAATCCATTAGTCAGAATTTATAGAATTCAAGACTATAGAATAGGGTTAGCAATATGGCTTAGTAAGTAGAGGTGCTTGATGAAGATCTGAGTTCAATCTTGAGGACCCACATGGTGGATGGAGAGAACTGATTCCTGGAAGCTGTCCTGTGATTTCCACACATGTGCCATGCCAAATACACAACCCCAATATCAATATATATATAATAAATAAATATAATGTAATAAAAATATTTAATGCTTCATAAACTAGAGAATAGCACAGAGACTTTAAAGTCTGTCTCAAAACAATGATATACCAATGTCAAATAAGCATAGGCAAAGACGTTCAACATCATGTCATTAGTGGATTATGAATTAAAACAATGGATTAGCACTACACAAAGATTACAGTGTCTAAAGTCCAAAACATTGACAACACCAAACGCTAACAGGGAGGTGGTTCCTATTCAGTGCCGCTAGGAAGGCAAAGAGGGACAGCCTGGCTGTTGTTTTTAAGACAGCTAATTGCAGCCTTAACCTACAATCCAGCAACGATGCTCATGAATTTCCCCAAATGAACTGAAAACTTCTCTACACACAAAAACTCATACGAGTGTGAATAGCACACTACTCATAAGTACCAAAAAAACCTCGCATGAGTGTGTTTTCGTAAGTACCTAAAAATAAAAAGCAATCAAAATGTTCTTTAATTGGTGAATAAGTTGGCAGTCACTTCCATGTGATGCTCTGATGGTAGTACGGCTGTCAGTAATAAAAGGAAATGATCTCAAGTCACAAAAAAGCAGTTCAATGACACGCCGCTAAACAAAAGAAACCAAAGCTCAGAGCACAGGAACGACCAAACAGCAGAGGTCTGGCCCATCCCAGGGGAGTGCCAAATGCAGTATGGTGCATGCTTGATTAGTGGGAATAAAATCTAGATTACAGCAAGATAACTTAGCAGGCGAAGGCACTTGCTGCCATGCCTGATGACCTGAGTTCGATCCGTGAACCCACAAGAAGTTGTCCTCTGACTTCCACATGTACGTGGTGGCACTTGTGCACCCACACACACGTGCACACACATTTACAGTATGACTCTAGATAGGAAGAACGAAAACCTTTGTAATTTTTGTTTGCTTGCTTGAGACAGGGTCTCATGTAGCCCAGGCTGGCTTCAAAGTCACAGTGCAGCTGAGGATGACCTTCAATCCTGGATGTTTGTAATTTTCACCCTGCCCTCCCTAGTGCTGGGATTACAGGCTTGCACCGCCGTGCATGGCTGAACACACATAATTAAACAACTTGTGCTTTGGGAAACGTATCCAGGAGAGCAATGGAATAATAGATGCAAAACTCAAGAGAGTGGTTATCTCAGAGGGAGCAACGAACAGGATGTGGTACAGTGGGGAAGGACCCTCGGGGGATTTCTTATGTTTTGTGTTGATTTGCAGGAGGGTTTGCATTATTATTATTATTATTATTTATAGTTTGCATACATTTTAGAATATCCTCTAATATGTTATGACAATATTTTTTTTGTCTTTTTGAGACAGGGTCTCCCTGTAGCCCCAGCTATCCTGAAACTCACTATGTAGACGAGGTTGGCCTCGAACTCACAAAGATCCGCCTGCCTCTGCCTCCCAAGTGCTAGAATTAAAGGCGTGCGCCACCACGCCCGGCTGACAATATTTTTTAAAAGCATTCATGAATTACAGAATAAAATCAGAGTCCTGATTTCAGCTTTTATTAAATAGCAGGCTGTCTTTTGGTACCTTGCTTAATCTCTTTGGGTCTCAGTTTCCTCTGTAAAATAGGGAGGCCACTATCTCAACATCACTGAGAAGAGCAAATAGAAAAAGCTAGAGCCACATCGGGAGGGCAGGGACTGGGCTTCTAAAATCTAGTTATCCTCCATGTTGTGTTTATTCTAGTTTCACAGCTTAAAGATGCGGTCCCCAGAAACCTTATTCTCTGTCCAATTCCAGCACTGAGATACAGACACTCTCTCATGCCAGCTGGTGTTAGCATCCTTTTCACAACAATTGATGTTAATCTCAACGTTTGCTCTCCTGTCTCCAAAGTAGGGCAGCAGTGGGAATACAGGACAGAGGAGCTGGTACTTACTGTTAAATCTCAGGAGGAAGGATGGGGCCCTGGGAAAGAACAGAAAAGGCATGTAAGTGCTCTCCTTCAGATGCCAAGTCTCCTTCAGAGGCAGACATTGTATGCTAGCATATGCCTAACTTTTACGCAGCTACCAAGTCCAGGTTAGATGCAGATGCTTATAATTTTAAATCTTTTAGTTCTGTGATCATGACAAGTTCTTCTCCTGAACCTTTTGTTGGCATTTAAAGGGTGAATGTGGAGCTGGAGAGATGGCTCAGAGGTTAGGAGCACTGACTGTTCTTGCAGAGGACCTGGGTTCCATTCCCAACATCCACATGGCAACTAACTGAAACTCCGGTCCCAGGGGATCCGATGGGCTTTTCTAACCTCCGTAGGCCATGGGTGTACTTACTTACAAGCAGGTAATACACACACACACACACACACACACACACACACACACACACATACACACACACTAAAAAATTAATTTTTTACAAGGACGAATGTATTGTCATTAAATGTATTGCACCACTCTACAAAGCTAGACTCAACTGACAAAATAAAATCTCTGCTTTTAGCTCCATTCAGTTCTGACTGGATTTCCACCCCTATTTGCAATGGCAGGTGAGTGCTGCTTTTCCTTTGGTTTTGTCTCATCTGGTGCTGAGGAGACACAGAAATGAGACAGCATGAATGCTTCTGGGTACCTTCCTCCACTGTGTGAGACTCAGTTATAAGCCCATCTCTCCTAAGAAACCCTTTTATTAAACAGAGGGAAGGGAAAGGTCAGGAGCATCCTAACCAGGCTTTCAGCATCTGCCAGACAGAAAGCTTGTGTCCTCTTAGTTCATTAATACCACTGTAGTCAGGCCACACAGGCTAATGAGTCCAGTTCCGCAATGAGAAACAGTTAACAACCTCACCTCACAGCATTATTTATTTGTTTATTTATTATTTATTTATTTTACTTACTTTTGGCTTTTGAGACAGGGTTTCCTGCAGCTCAGAACGGCCTCAAACTCTCCCTATTCCTGAAGATGACCTTGAACTCCTGATCCTCTTACCGCCCCCTCCCAAGTGTTGGAATGACAGGTGTGAGCCACCACACCTGGCTTCACAGCTGACATTTAATTTTTAAAATTTTTGTGTTATGTGTATGAGTGTTTTGCCTGCATGTTTGCACACCAAATGTGTGGCTTGGTGCCTGCAGAGGCCAGAAGAGGGCAGCAGATTCCCTGAAACTGGAGTTACAGATGGTTGTGAGCTGTCATGTGGGTGCTGGGAACCAAATCCGAGTCCTCTGCAAGAGCAGCCAGGGCTTTTATCTGCTGAGCCATCTCTCCAGGCCCCACAGAAAACATTTAAATGAACATCTGTCCCTACCTGATAGAAAGTAGCTATTTAAAAATATCTATAACCTGGTGCTGAAGAGATGACTGAGTAGTTAAGAACACTGACTGCTCTTGTGGAGGACCCAGGTTCGACTCCCAGCACCCACATGGCAGGAAACAACTGTCTGTAACTCCAGTTCTAGTGAATCTGATGCCCTTTTCTTACCTCAGCGAACATTGTATGACGGGGGTACACTTACATGCATGCAGGCAATATACTCACACACATAAAGTAAAAATACAAAAAATAAAATATTTAAAAATATCAATAAGCCAGGCGTGGTGGCACACGCCTTTAGTCCCAGCACTCGGGAGGCAGAGGCAGGCAGATCTCTGTTAGTTCAAAGCCAGCCTGGTCTACATAGTGAGTTCCAGGTCAGCTGGGGCTACAGGGAGACCCTGTCTCAAAAAGACCAAAAGTTCTTTACGCAATTTTAGACATACAACCAAGGTGAAAACCACTGGTTTATTCCCTCCCTGCTCTTGTCTACCAATCTCAGCATTAAAAAAATATTTATTATTATTTAAATTTTTTTATGTGTATGAGGGTATTGCCTGCATGTATATAAGGGCACCCATGTTGTTCAATGCCTGCAGAGATCAGAGGAGGGTGTCAGATTCCCTGGAACTGGAGTTAGGATGGTTGTTAGCCACCATGTGGGTCCTGAGAATTAAACCCTGGTCCTTTGCAAGAGTAGAGAGTGCTCTTAACTGCTGCACTATCTCTCCAGCCCCCATAGCTAATATTTAAATGAACATCTGTCTTTCCCTGATAGAAAATAACTTTTAAAAAAATCTATAACCTGAGGCTGGAGAGATGACATGGGTGCATGCAGGCAATGTACTTATACACATAAAATAAAAATAATAAAAAAACTACAGAACCATCTCTTCAGCCCTGTATCTAAGTATTTAAGATATTTTTTGACACTTGCTTAAGGTAGTGGATATGCTAAGATGCTTAACTCATTTACAGTACTCTGTGTATGCGCATATTCATGTACGAGGCCAGAATTCAATGTTGAGTGTCTTCTTCAATCCCTTTCCACCTGCTGGTAGTTTCTGTAAAAAACAGCATAATTTTATTTTTGACAACTTCTGCTTTGATATATTGCAGCAGAATTTATTTTCTTTTCCATCAGTTTGGTTTTGGTTTTGTTTCTCTTGAGACAGGGTCTCATGTAGCCCAGCTTGGCCTGAGGCTTACTATGTAGCTGAGGATGGCCATGACCTTCTGATCCTCCTGTTTCTACTTCTCAGATGCTTCTGTTTCTACCTCTAGGCATGAAATTTAGATTGCATAAGGAACCTTATAGAGTTACATTTAATAGAATTAGCACTTCTTAACTGAGAGGCAGGCTAATAAGATTAAGAATATGGGTTTAGGGAATGGAGAGATGACTCAGTGGTTAAAAGCATTGGCTGCTCTTGCAGAGGACCTGGGTTCAGTTCCTAGTACCCACATAGTGGCTAACAACTGTCCGTAACTCCAGTTCCGGGGGATCCAATGCCTTCTTCTGGCTTCCACGAGCATTGCACACACATGGTGCACTTTAGAAACATACAGACAATACACTCATACACATAAAATAAAAACCCTCTTTGTGTTAGTTGTTTTGTCACTGATAGAATGCCTGACACAAACAACTTAAAAGGAGAAGAGGATTTTTAGCTCACAGTTTTAGAGGTTTCAGTACTTTTGGTAGGGAGGGCACAGCAGAGGGAGTCACATCACAGCCAGTAGAAAGAGGGCGGGGAGCAGCAATGAAGGCTTTCTCCAAGTTTTCCCTTTTATTGCATGCCAGGACCTAGCCTGTGGGATGGTGCTGCCCACATTCAGGGAGATCTTCCCATCTTAGTTAACCCTCTCCAGAAACTCCCTTATAGACATGCCTGGACATGTGCTTTATTAGTTTACCATGTCCTTATCAAGCCAATCAAGTTGACCATCAGTATCAACTATGAAAAGCCCACCTCCTGTTCACTTGACGCCCAGACACATCTCCTTAAGCCATAGCATTCTGTCCCTGGCTTCCAAAAGGCTCATGTCCATCTAATAATGCAAAATATATTCAAGTTCATTTCCAGTAATTCCCTCAGCCTTAACAGTCTCCATACTATTCAAAAGTTCAAGCCCCAAAGCCTCTTTCTCTCAAGTGCTGGAATTATAGGTCTGTGCCACCATGTGCAGATGGATCCATTTGTGTGAGCTATAATCTTGGAAGTGGGGAGAGGGATGGTGTGGTTTCTCTCCCTTCCCTCATGGGTCATTGGCCACCGGTCCACGAGGAAAAAGGGAGCAGAAGCGATGAACGGGGTCAGGGACGGCCAGTGAGCACTGAAGGAAGAAAGCCCCTCCAGGGAGGCAGGTTCCAGACTTAGTGAAACAGCTCTGTTTATTCAGTGGGGGTTAGGGAAAATATAGTGTGGAGGCAGTAGCCAATGCTTCAGCTGATAGGTGCTCATAGTATGCTTTATTTACATGTGGCAGGGGATCCCATCATCCCACTATGGGGAAATGCCTAATTATCATATAGAAAAAAACTGGGGGTAGTTTTATTGCAGGTAACTATGCCAAAGGTCATGTTTCAAATGAGGCCAAGCATCCATGCTTGGCGGCACTTTCTAGGTAAGTCAGGCAGGAAGCCCCTGCTGAGGAAGGAGCTGACTTTAACAGTAGGGTTCCCCAACAGGATGGGAGAGCTAAATCAGGAATGCTACTTGGAGGAGGTGACATGGAGTTCTACATTTAGGAAGGTGGCAGGTGATTTATAAGAGATACTGTAGAGGCTGCTGAACCCTAATCTTCCCAGTCACTGATGAGGGGAGGTTCAGACAGTCGCACCAGAGTGTTTTGGACCAAAATCTGCTGCAAAATGTACTGAACAAAGACTCTGAACAATATGATCTTATAAGATCTTTTGAACACATGGAGTGTACATTGAAAAAGTCACCTTGTTTAGTTCATGGATGGAAAGTGTGGTCACCACATTGTGCTCTCCCTTCTGTGCTGTGTCTTTCACTAGGTTTGGGGGCAGAGTAAAACGAAATTATGTCTTTGTCAAGAAAAAGCCCAAATATTTTTCTGGAGGCATTCTTGAATTCTGATTGCAAACTACTATAGCATATTCTGAAATTTTTCCAGGTAGACAGAGGGGTGTAAGCAGCTACTGCGGACGAGTCACTGGACCAGGGGCTCCTCCAATGCAAGTCTCAAGTTTCCTGAAAGGCTCACTCTCTGCCTGGTTTCTCTTTTCAAGTCCACTGGGAAAGTTGATCCTTGATTGCCAACCTGATGGAATTTAGAATCAACTGGGAGACAAATCTCTGGGTGTGTCCGTGAGGGTGTTTCCAAAGAGGTTTAAGGGAACTGGAAAGACCCACTGTGAATGTGAGCAGTACCATTCCCTGTGCTGGGGTCCTGGACTGAGTAGAAAGAAGAAAGCAAGTGAGCACCAGCATTCCTCTCTCTCTGCTTCCTGACTGTGGATGCCATGTGACCAGCCACTTCGTGCTTCCGTCACCATGCTGTCTCTGCCATGATGGACTGCACCTTCAAACTGTGACCAAAAGTAAACCTTTCCTTCCTTAAGTTGCTTTTTTTCAGATATTTTGCCACAACAACAATAAAAGTACCTAATATGTTTACCCAGCTAGCTTGGGTCTCCCACACCTTCCACTCAATACCACCTTAAAAAGTGCTTTGGTACAATAGTCACCTGTGGCTCCAGGACCCCCAGATTTTCCTGAAAGTAGTTAAGCTCTTCAGTTGGGATTCAAGGATGCTTACCCTCACAGAGGTAAAACTTGGCTTTTTTCTTGCTTTCAAATGTGGGAAGTAAGTCAAACTGTGTTTCCTTGGCTTGTTAGCATCCATTGGAGTCCTGTGTGTGGGGGGGAGAAAGAGAGAGAGAGAGAGAGAGAGAGAGAGAGAGAGAGAGAGAGAGAGAGAGAGAGAGAGAGAGAGAGAGAGAGAGAAACATAAATTGGTTCTGGACATAGAGGCATATGACTATAATCCCAGCCCTCAAGAGGCTAAAGAAAGAAGATCTCAAGTTCAAAGCTAACTGGGGCTACATAGCAAGACCCTGTCTCAAAATTGATGATGATGATGATGATGAAGATGAAGATATAGTAATAACAAGCTGGCAGCACAAATAAAATACTAGTAAATATTTGGGGATGAAAGAGAGCAGGAAGAGCTTGAAGAAAAGCAATGGCCAGCCTATATGAAAGGCAAGCACTACTCCTTCCCTTGTTCTTCTTCCTGGGGTCAGATAAGGACAGGGAGAGGAGAGGGTGAGGCAGGAGCCAGGGAGCAGCAGGAAAAAGTTAGGTACTGAACAGTTTAAGACCCCCCCCCAAAGTCCCGATCTCATTTCCCTAGCTAACTGCAAAGCAAACTTCATTGTCTTCAC